TTTTAAATAAGAATTCCTATTTCGCGAATTATTATCCCGATCATTACTTATATCGAAATTTATATGATTCAGATCAATAACCAAGATATTTAATATCAATTTGAAAATTTTCTTCAATATATAATTTAAATATCCTATCTCAAAAAATAACGATAAATCTCTCAATCAATATATCTCAATATTATAAATAAGAATATATAGATGAACTATAGAAATAAATCCCAATCCAATTTCCCACTCCCAGAATAAATGATATAAAATATATTTCTATAATTTGAATTGGCCCATATAAAATACGAATCAAATATATGCCAGACACGAGACCAAATGTGGAACCAGTCACGAGCCCAGAAGCCCCATCGCGAACCAGATACGAACCCGGATACCAAGCCAGATACGAACCCAGACACGCATCGGACACGGACCCCGACACGAACCCGGACACGAACCGCGGACACGAACCGGAAACGAACCCGGACAGAATAACGATGGAACTACTTCGCAACTTCCAAGCGTTATCTCCTAATTATGCGGGACTCATAATGGTATTTCTAGGTGCACAGGCTTTGCAATTCGATCGCTAATCAAAAGAAATCTCTGTATGATTTCAGATGCTCGGGTATCTAGCAACTATCCTCTTTACCGTTTTAACGCCTGCAAGAAATCTGCAAAGTCATCCTAAAATCTGCAGAATCATATTACCGCGAGAATGAACCCCTAAAGCTTCCAGAGCGTGGAAGCCTTTAATAACGCGAATTTCCTAAAGCTTCCAAAATCTTCGAGGTTTTAGTGCCGAGAGAGAAGCACTCGCGACACTAATACTTCCGAGAACGATGCAAGAGGCTTTCGTGAAGAAGCGTCGAAATGGACCAAGTTATAGGGGGGCAGGACTACGCGCAGCAGAGCAGTACGACATCGTTTTATTGGAGAATAATTTATATATAACAATCTCATCAGGTAGTCTGAGAATTCCTAAACAAATCTAAATTTTCCCATTCGGACTTTCTCAGAACTTATTGCTTATTCTTATTTTTAACTATCTAAATACATGCTCGCCCGGTAGATATATATCATAACGATATCCGAGGTCAAGGTCCGGATACCTAGAGAGATGGTTGTATAGGCATGAGATTGGGAAGATCATCTATGCTTATGTCTGGATAAGGTGCCGGGTTTGGGATTATCCGATTCAAATTCTTGACGAAAAAGATTGCCAAAGAAGGAATAGTCCCTTGATCCTTACCCTCTAATCCCCCTCAACCCCTAGAATAAGCTGAAATAAGCTCAAACCCAAACCTTCCTGAAAATTCCCTAAAGCCCTGAATCAGCACCCTTTCGCTTTTGGACTGCGGAGCGGCGGCAGTCAGAAAAGCCATTCCATCCAGCTTTGGGGAGGCCTGCCGGAAGGCACGGTTTAGGCTTCCAGGGTTTGGGGTTCCAGCTTTGGGTTTAGGGTTCAGGACGGTTTAGGGTTCCAGCTTTGTGGAGGCCCGCCGGAAGTTTGGTCCAGAGATTTAGGGCTTGGGGATTTTGCGGTTTAGGGGAGATGAGAAGTGTACATACAGGACATTCATAAGGTGCCTTTGTGTGCTTTTTGTTTTAATAGGGTCTTGGAACATTTCAGATATGGTTCTCTGAGGATGTAAAAAACGGTTTAGTAGAAAGGTGCCGAATCCAGGCATTTGTGTTTGAGATCATGTGAACTGGAAGGTATTGGGTGGAACTGGAAAGTGTATCCAGTGCACTTCGCGCAGACCACCAAGCTACATAAATGCATATGCATGCACGACGAGTTGCCTGGTGGCTTATGCTGGTAACAAAAGCTAGATAAAAGGCTTGCAACTAGCCTTAGTAGAAGCCTTCTTCACAAGACGACAACAAACTTTTAACAGCACTACCGCGGTCATTATCAAACTTCGGCAACGCCTGCCCTCGCATGTACAAACCTGCATGCGTTAGATGGCCAATGTTAGCTTTCACGTAGGGTTGACAGAGATGGCGCTCACGAACCCTGCTGGAAACCCGAACCCCAAAAGCGCGAACTTCAAATTCTGAAACAATCCAAACCCCCGAGCCAACACTATCATTATCAGGGATCAAACAGCCGAATGCACAAGTCTTGCAATTCCTACTCGAAGCAAGAAATATGATGCCAGTAGGTTTCGAGGCTTGGCTCAGATCTTGCATTTCCTTCCCTTGTCATGTTTTCAGGTCTAAGTATGCCCTAAACCCTAAACCCTAAACCCTAAACCGTATGGTGTACTGCAGGGTCTGAGGGTTCAAGGTCTGTCCACAAGTGCCCAAACCTGGGGTGACGCACATACGGCGTGACCTTGGTGGCAGCAATCGGGATAAAAAAGCCCGATTGAAGGAGAACTTTTGGGTGCAAGCAGCACTTCATGGTCTGAGCCAGCCTATTCCGACGTCGTATCGTGCAGCCCTGATATTAAATATATTCACAACCCCAGATACTTATTCAATTCTTTCCTCAAAGGAGGTGCCGGTTGATCCATGACTAAAACCGATAGTTGCAGCACATTCGCATGGTGCAGGCACTGTGTGAGGGCAAACAGGGAGGAGAGGCTGCAATCAGAGAAACTCAGGGCGCTTGTTGTTGAGGACAGGGCGGAAGCATGTTTGAACTCCCCATGCCAGAGAAGCTCTAATGAAGCACTCTGAACCCCGAACCTTTGCTGCACACATAATCGCTACTAACTAGGACCCCGCTGCAGTTTGGGGTTTAGAGCTTCGGCATAAGCGCAGCCGTAGACAGAGGCTCTTCTTAGAGTGCATAGCCTACAAGAAAGCCGAATGTGGCATAGCCCGCTGTGACACAGCCCGCAGCTTGATACTGGGATTATGAAACATGTTGCATCTATAGCACGTATGTTGAGATAGTCCTGCTAATTGTTGAAAGCGGTGTGCATCGCAAATGCCTGTAGGAACCTGTACAACCCCAGATGCGAGTTTCCGAAAATAGGGGTACCTTATTTGGAGGTCCCTCTGATAAGGGTCCTACTAGTTTAGGGTACTATATTATTAGGATCCCCCATTTTCGGAAATCCCCAAATAGACCAGAGATGGCACGGCTTGGTGGGCTATGCTCAGGATGACACGACGCCCACCATGCACGCCTTGGCAGGCATGGTTGCAAGAGCTTGCGCAATCTACCTTACGCTGAAATGTGCCCTAACTCCAAGCGCAAGTTTTACCTGCGGGGGCAATCGTCGTACTGTTGCGGAAAAAAACCTGCATTACTTACAACAAGGAAAATACCACATATAATTCCCATATCTAGGGTCATTAAGGTAACATTATAATTTGCAGGATTATATCATCAGCCGTATGTTCGCAAAGGTGCGAAAGCCTGTAGAGGAGTAGCGAGCCTCCAGTTTGCGCTATGGTTCAGGGTTTAGGGTTTAGGGTTTTTAGGGTTTAGGGTTTAGGGTTTCCTAAACCCTAAACCGTGGCCCAGGAGTTTGGTTCATTGTGTTGGAATGTAGGGCAGGGGGCATTGGATATCTTCTCTGCTGATACACATTTCGCTGTATGCTTGGAAGTTGCATCGTCAACGTTCCTGTGCCAGATGCCGGAAGCTGATATTCACATCCCAAGCCCTCAGCCGAAGTTCGCCTTACCCTGACAGCCCGAACCCTAAGCCTAAACCGAAACCCTGAATTGTAGAAGTTGAGAGTACCCTGACTACACTGAAGCCTCCAGCCCGAAATGAACTCGGAGCTCTCCAATTCTTCAGCCGAGAAACCAAGCCCCGAGCCCTCTTATAGCTCTTAACTTCTAGACATGAAGCCCTACATCACGCCCTATCCCCGAAACTCAAACACCACACAGGAATCCGAACTCGAAACCTTCAACTCCATCCTACACCTGTCAGCTAGCCTTAAGCCCTACACACAAATCAGAAACGCCGAAGCCATGAAACTCGAAAGACCAGACCCGAAATCCGCGAGAATCGCTTTACATCTTAGAGTAAGCCCTCATTCCAGATTCCGTATAGAACGGTTTAGGGTTTTGGGGTTTAACTCTTTAAAGACTCCTTACAGAACTGTCTTCAGCAAGCAACAGTCTCAGGAGCAGGCTGGCAAAGGTTCTCGGGCGGCCCACATACGCATGGCCGAGCGCCACTTCCTGCCAAGTCACTTTCTAGGACACTAGAGCTCGAGCTTAGGAATGTACGGTTTACGGAAAAGTGTCACAAAGTCTAGGACTTTGGGTTTTTTAGAGCTTCGGGCTTTACAGCTCCTCAAAGTCTGTTGTAGCTTCTGGAGTGACCGTCGACTCAGGCATCTCAGACTATCTGGAGACTTGGATGTGCAGCATTTACCCAAAGGCTCCATGTACCCATATAGTAGGTACTTAGGCCTTAAAGTAACCATATAGGGACCCCTTTAAGGCGTAAGTACCTACTATATGGGTACATGGATCGTTAGGGTTAGGAGTCGGCGGCTGCGGGCTTCTTGACGGTTTTCGAAAACCCTAAACCCTAGGTTTAGGCAAAGTTTAGGGTGACGGAGAGTGTGGCCGAGGGTCGTTTTTCAGATTTCAAGCTTGGTACGTCGAGGGCAGCATCGGGGATGATCTGAGAGTGAGTCATAGAGTCATGAAATAGGTGAAGGGTTAGGATTTAGGGTGTAATTAGGGTTTAGGGTGTCGAGTTGTCAAGTTTAAGATGCAACGTTTAGGGCCAAAGTTTAGGGTTCAGGGTTTGGAGCTTATGGCCTCTCGCACTCCATGGTCACGTCATGGAAGGGCCGGCAGTGCCTCACCAGAGAAGAATCGAACAAACATCCATGGAATGGGCGAGCACCAAGGATGCCGTGGGCTTCTCAAGCTAGCGAGTGAGGGCTTAGAGATGGCAGCTTCAGGTTGCCAGTGGAATGGCTGCCTGAATACTAATCCTCATCATTAGCATCATCAGTGCCATCGCCTTAGCTTAGCCACCTGTGGTAGAATGTTGGAGTGTCAAGAACCATGGCACAACAGTTTACAAGGATTGGGCTTGCAAGCACTGTGAGCACAAAGCGCTCAAAGCGACGAGCAGAGAGGGTTACACACTAACATTTAACACAAGTATAGATTTGACAACTACAGTAGGAATGATGTCAACACATGTGTCGTCATCACTCTCGTTGTCATATCCTCAAACAGAGCGCCAAACATGCTTACGCCCTAGCCCGTGTTGCGCTATGTTGCAATACTCCTTTGTCATCATGTCGGCATACTATACACTACAGTACAATGCAACATAATACAGTAAATATCATATTATACAGTCTAATATGACTACCTGTTTCAGCGTATGGTATAATACACTATAGTATGATATACTATGGTATAGTATAGTAGAGTACAGTATAGTATAGTATAGTATAATCTTAAGATCTCGCAGATCATGACTTGGCTGCACGCAAGGCGTAGTCATCTTCGAGACCGCGGGTGGCCTTGGGCGTGGAACTTGGGCTTTCAGGGCTTCTGGCGGCTAGCAGTTCAGGGTTTAGGGGTATCGGGCTTAGGGGTATAGGGTATAGAGACTGAGGGATGTTTAGGGTCTAGGGGTTTAGGGTTTAGGGGTATAGGGTTTAGATGTTGAGGCATGCTTAGGGTTTAGGGGTACTTGGAGGGGCAGGGGACTTAGTAAGCAGGTTATAAGTAGAGTTATAAGTACCCTAAATGGGATTACCCCAATTATAACCCTACTTATAACCTACTTACTAAGTCCCCTGCCCCTCCAAATATAGGGTTTACGTTAAGAGTGGCGGTCTAGGGGTTTAGGCGGCTTCGGGTTTGGGTCTTCCCTGCTGCGGGGCTTCGTGAATTGGGACTGCTGTTGAGACAGCGTGAGTACTTGGAGGGGTAGGGGGGTTAGTAAGTAGGTTATAAGTTGGGTTATAAGGGGTAACTCGATTTAGGGTACTTATGACTCTACTTGTAACCTACTTACTAGGTCCCCTGCCCCTCCAAGTAGGCTAACGCATTTGGGTTTGGATCTGATTGCTGGCGACTTGGGGTCTGGTTTAGGGCTCAGGGTTTAGGGTTTAGGGCTTAGGGTTTAGGGTTTAAGTTTAGGGCTCAGGGTTTAGGGTTTAGGGCTCAGGGTTTAGGGTAGCCATACATAGGTGACAAAACCAAAACCGGCGATAGCCACATGCACATGCGCAAAACAAATTCGTATCACGGCCCACCGTCCCGAAGCTCCTTGCTCTGAGTCGTGCTGAGCTGCTGAACTGGCCCCTGAAACCCTTGGGTTTGGGGAGAGTGTTTGAACCTTTAGTTCGAAACTCTATGTTCAGAGTTCTCGAAGCTCGAACTGAGAGTTTAGGGCCATAGGCCCTAAACCCCAAACCGAAATCCTAAACTCTACCGGAAACCCAAAACCGACCAAGCCTCGACTATACCCCCAGATACAGGAAACCTTAAAGGAAACGTTAGAGGCTCCAGCGCCTTGGAGGTGGTCTGTGAGGTAGCATGGCTCATGTAGGGCTTTTGGGAAGAATGGCGTCTGTAGCAACCTGAAGTTAAGGAGTCCAGTGAAAGAAGGACTAGATGTGTCATGTGGCTCCTAACTTCTAGCCCTAGGGATCGAACTGTTGATGATATAAATCCTGCATGACCACCCATAATGAGGAATATACCATAATTCCCATATATTCCTTATTATGGGTAATGCAGGATTTATATCATCAACCGAAATATTAAGGCTTTTGGGCCCAAAAAGCCTTAATATATAAAGCTTGATCCCTATGGTAGGTCTAGGTACAGCCCAGAACCCTGAGTCCAGATCCTCAGAGGCCCCTACTACTATACCCCCCTTAGAACCTAAATACTATTTTTAAGATTCTCTTGGGTTTTATATGAACAAAAATGAAAAATCCTAAGGAGACTATGGACTGTAGCGTCTGGGGTCGAGGCAGATTTCCAATTCAGGAGCTCCTTCCGATAGCCCAAGTAGGCTTTGACGAACTCCTGCTGCACAGCATCTTGAGGTTCGGGGTGCGGATTCAGGCCCATTGGTGTACATAAAGTCATGGGCCATCTGTGTCTGCTCTGGTCCAAGAAGTTGGTAGAAGGCCCTCATACACAGATTGTGTGTGCATATATGTATATGTAAACGTATTGAGTCATCAAACTCACATATACGTATGTATACATACAGATACGGATACAGCAACAGATATAGGTAGATGGACGTAGGTACATGGATATAGTTATGCTCCAGCAACAGTAGGAATAACAGCCATAATTAGTCACAGGTACTAGTACTCGTAGTAGAAATAGTGCGACTAATAAGAATGATAAAAATCGCAAAAGCAACAACCTGCATATGTGTATATACATATAAATATTCACATTTATATTTATATGTCTGTATGTATGCATGTATGCATGCAGCAGAAGCAGTCATTTCTTGTCAGTTCCTGCAGGGCTCGGGACCCTCTCAGTTGTCGACCTCGATACCTTGAGTTGAATGCCCCAAGGCCGGAACCTCAACTCCCACACTTCATTCTTTGTCATGTTGTCCTGATTATTAATATTATTGTTATTATTAGTATTTTTATTATGATGATGATGATGATTATTATTATTATTATTATTATTAGTAGTAGTAGTAGTAGTCTTTGTCGTGTCGTCGTCCTAGTAGTAGTACTGCTGCTACTACTAGTGCTCCTTCTACTGGTAGCAGCAGTAGTCGCACTCGCTGTTGTTGCTGCTGTTTTCAATACTCATTTCGACTAATGGTTGTTGTTGTTATGTCAGACTTGTTAACAGCCTCAAGTCGGGACTGCCTGACAGCTAGGGCATCGCAGGAGGCAGAAAAAGTAGAAGGCAACCTCGCGTGAGTTCTGAGATGTGAAAGCGACAGTCATGGATAGAATCGTGACAACAACGACAAGGGCTCAGGGTTTAGAGTTTAGGGTTGCAGCCAGTTTCAGCGGCAGAAAGCAAAGTCGCCAAAGAACGTAGCCGTGCCCGTCAAGCACAGACAGCAATCGAGACATGACGAAGATGAAATCCGGGAGCACTAAGTTCAAAAGCCACACGGTGCAAAACTGTGGTATCTGGGCTGGGAAAGCTCGAAGGATTTTAGTCGCTGTAGTGTAGTCTAGTAGGATGCACAGTCCGGCTTGAAACCGGATCCTCACCGAATTTAAGGGTGTGGCATGCAGTGCAACAAGAAAGGGATATGCATACCGAATACATACCGGATCCGGGCCTTGAGTCAAACTTTTTGCAAGGGAGGGCTTGACGATAAATTGGGGTCGCTCCCATGAGAGATCTCCTAAACCCTAAACAGCAACCTGTCCCACAGTACTTCGAATCATGAGTGCGGCGTCCATATGCGCCACTTCGTAGGCCTGCGATGGCAAAACTGATGAGCTGCTGGGGCCTTAATAATTGCCTGTACTATTTAACTATTTTAGAGGTTCCAGATTATATTTAAAATATTTTATACCCCACAGCAAAAAGGAGCACCACCGCCGTCACCTCCGCTGCAAACTGCAATGTCAGAAGCAACAAGAACAAGAAGAATAACAATAAGAAGAAGAGCAGGAGGAGCAATAACAACAGCAACAAGAATACTAATGACACCACCACCACCACCACCACCACCACCACCACCACCACCTCCACCTCCACCTCCACCTCCACCTCCACCTCCACCTCCACCTCCACCTCCACCTCCACCTCCACCTCCACCTCCACCTCCACCTCCACCTCCACCTCCACCTCCACCTCCACCTCCACCTCCACCTCCACCTCCAGCAGCACCACCAACCACAAACCACCATCCCCACAACCACCGCCGCCAGCGCCACCGCCACTCTGCCGGGAGCAGGTGCTGCGGTGAAGAGCAGACAAAGTTAGAACCGGCTTCTCTCGCAGTCCGGACGATGCACGTGTTGTGAACATCACGCAAATAATGGGGACACAAAGTCTGTGGAACACAGATTTGGGTTCGGCCTCTAGCTCATGTACTGGTATGATAGGGGCCTTAATAATTAGACTACGGTTGGGGAGTATATTATACTATAATTCTAATTCTAATCAGGAACCCCAAAATAGTAGTATTTCGTGATTGTTTAGGCCCCTATAGTACAGTGACGCAACAGCTTCAGGGATGGGAACTGGGCATGTCCCGCGCGGAGTGTGCGACACCTCGACGCAAAGCTCAATCTCCCCGATGCAATAAAGTACCCGAAACAACTGAACCAGTACAAAGAACTAATATTGAGCCTCGGCGTTAGCCTCCATGTTCTTGAGCTCTTCGGCAGATAGGGCATTCGCCTGCACACAGCCCGGTTGTATCTTCCAAGTCCGAAACGAAACAACAAGCGCCATTCGAGAAAGCCGCAGCTTCCGCCAGTTCATATACTCGTAGCACACGAAACCCCTGGAACGAGAATCCTGACCCCGAAAACGAAACCATCGAACCCTGGAGCGCTACTTTACAATGCCACACTAGTCTCCACGAAACCCTAAACCCTAAACTCCACTCTAGGATACAATCTGGAGCTGCGCATCTCTCCACTTGTAGACCTGATAGGGGCAAAATCCTACCTTGAGCCTAGATTTAATCAAGATATCCTAGGAACGAGGAACACAAGCAACCGAGCTTGGTTTTTGCAGGTTGTGAGAAGTCACCGCTTTGGAAACCACCAGCATGAAGAGACCATCCCCTCGCAGCGGTCAAGAGGAGTATCAGCGCTATGCAGGTTTGCTCCTCACCTTTACGACAAACACAAGAGCTCCCGTGATGAGCATCAGGGTCTTCCCAAGCATGAATTATTCTGCTAGGACAGTAGTATGGGCAGTAATTAGGTAGCAGATAACTCTCCCAGCAACGAGAGGCAATGCCACTCAATAATAAAGCACACAGCAGAACGACCCTATCTCTCAACCCGGAGCCCCATGTACGGCACCTTGTCGACTTGGCTCATGACCTTGGCTTAAACTGCACCCGAAAGGTTTAACTGAAGTCGAGGCTCGGGGGGCTTCAGAGCCCTCAGGCCCCAGAGACACGAGCTGCGAGGTCTGTGTATGAACCCTTACGTCGTCGATGTGCATCGTGATTTGCAGTGCAATACCGTGTTGAATCCCGTGATGACTCCTGTGACTGCTTTCCCCAAGCGTCTCGGAGGAGGTCTAGATCTGTTCCCTGTGTCGCCCAGCCGCTGTTCATGGCAGCTGAAACCGTTGCGGTGATGATAGCGATGACCGCGGCTGCTGAAGACAGTCGTTGGTCGGAAGCTACAAACTATTGTCAATTCATTTTGGTCTATGACTTGCCGACTATTCTTGCGTAACGTGTCTCTCGTAAGCCGTTAATGCGAGTCTCTCATACGTTGCAATGGTGCCGAGGCGCGCTAACCTGACAGGCATGTTCTGGTCATATACATGCTGCCAGCTGCATCTACACACCGCAAGTCTTTACATCTCTAGCACTGCGGCAGGATCTGCACAGTCTTCCTGGCATTGGCTGGCACAGGACGACACTACAGCGATTGAAACTACTTACAAATTATGTAGACGCTGGGTCCCGAACACCCTCGACACGTTCATCTGAAATACTGGGTGAATAGTTGAGTAACTTGATTAAGTTACCATAACAAGGAAACCATATTCATTTACTAGATTAGATTCCTTTTCTGTATCTTGGTTAAACCCCTTAACAAGAACTCAGCAGAATCCGAGTCGTCCCGTAGAAGATCCCGCCCCTCGTGCGAGCAAAGTAGCATCTTGGCTCCCAAGGTACCTGAGACAATATAGCATAACATAATGTAGGATAGCATAGGAAAAATAGCAATACACTACACTGTTTAAGACACGATAATGCAAAACATATGATACAGTATAATGCAAGATAAACTAGTTGAACGTCATACAGTTATATAAGCACAATGATCTCAATGCAAATGGAACGCGAGACAATAAGCTCAGGACAACACCATGTGAAGTGAGGACAATGGGCTTTGTATCTTGCACTCGCGATCTAGATGTCTTGCCGCGGTTCGATATTGCCGCTTCATGCAAAGTCAGCTCCCTCAGGCTCTGCCAGAACAAAAACTGACTGGTGGATTTGAGCCGGGTGTTCTGGGTGTTGGTGCACAGTGCTTTGAATTCCTTCGTATAGGAACTTACTCCCGGTTCGGCTGAAACTTCGTGGAGCAGTAGCAGTAGCAGCAGCAGGCGAGGTAGCGGTGCTGGTGGTGGTTGTGGTGGTGGTAGTTGTAGTAGTGGTAGTGGTGGTGGTGGTCGTGCTTAGTGGAAGTGGTAGTGGTAGCATCGTTGTCGTTGTCACCATCCTACAGTTTTCGTATTTCCCCAGCAGCTGCTGCTACTGCTGCCACCACTACTACCACTACTACTAGCGCTACCACTACTACCACTACCACTAGCACTAGCACTACCACCACTACTACTACTACTGCTGCTACTACTACTACTTCTTCTTCTACTACGACGACCACTGCTACTTGTATGCCTAAAGCTGAAAAGCCACGACCACCACCAGTACACCACCACCACCACCACCACCACCACCACCACCACCACCACCACCACCACCACCACCACCACCACCACCACCACCACCACCACCACCACCACCACCCCCCCCACCACCACCACCACCACCACCACCACCACCACCACCACCACCACCACCACCACCACCACCACCACCACCACCACCACCACCACCACCACCACCACCACCACCACCACCACCACCCGACTCGCCCCCCCTTCTACTTCTTCAACAAAGGACTCTCGCCTTTGACCCCGCTGAAAACATCTGAGGCTGCCGGCAGCTTTGGCCGGAGCTGCATGTCCGCCTGTAGACGCTCCATGCGCCTCGGAGAACGACGTGAGAAACAGATTCATGTGGACCCCTGATTATTTCACCCTTACCCCAAGCAGGAATTGTGAAGAGTAATTGTAACTTTCAAGCCCTGAGAGTAACGGAGTTTGAAAATGAAGGGCCAACATTACTGCAAGTAGGGTAGCAATCATCATTATGACATCCAGCGACAATCGGATTTTTACACACAGTCATAAGAACAGGCACGGAAGAGTTGGTGGATTTTGCAAGGTTTGGGAAGCCTTGGTGGGCTTTCGGGGTTTGTTCTTTAGCAGGATTGGGGTGAAATCAGGGGCTTTGCAGTTAAACCCCATCAAGTTGGAAACCGGATTAAGGCCAAATAGTGCTGGGATTCCCAATACATCACTCTTAGGGATCGAGGCTATTGGGTTTCCAACTCTTGGCTTCTACTGTAGAAGTACGATCTTCGAATTCGGGGACGAGCGGGACATCAATAGACTACGATGGGCCCTTAATGATTAGGTTGGTGTAGGATTTGGGGTAATACCCTACTATAGGCATATTCACATGGACTATATAGGCGATATGATTACTGATTATTTTGAGCCCCATTTTAGGCTTTCGGCATAGATTGGCATAGATGCTACCAGACTCTGAATATGTCAGACAGGACTCCTGCGAAATTTCAAGTCGGCTGTCTGAGTCTTGTCACTTCTTCGAGACGATACTGGGAATAGAGCTTAGGGTGGACAGGGAAACCATGTGCTTGGTGACTGCTGACTGACTGCTGGCGCCCTCTACTCAGAAACATGTAAGCCATCAGATATTAGATCTGTAACCAACCCTGCCTACAACTTACAACGCCCTATACCCACAACCACTGCGCAACCCTATACCCCGTATCTAGAAAATCTAACATATGTGAACTACAGATGCGGTTGTGGAGCCTGCAAGAAGCATACTACACTAGCTATACGCTGTACGACTAACACGCTGCGCAAGAAACCTTGGGGGCACGGCTTGTTTAGGACGGCCTCCTTCTCCTCGTCTTCCGGGAGAGCGGACATGTTGCAAACCTGTGTAGACGCAGCCTACGTAGTCGGGGTTAAGAGTCGTGTTATAGGGCCCAGGGTCCTTTTGAGTGTTGTCGCCCCACATAGTAAGAACGACGTTGGCACCTACACTACCATGTGGGTGGTTGTCAAAATTAAGGTCCCCTCTTGGGTACCCTAGATAATAGGTGCCGTATTATATTAAGGATCCAAAAAGGGACCATAATTTTGACAACCGCCTATGTGGATCTATGCGGGAACCCACTAGCTCTGGATGGCGAGTGTCGGCTTGAGGCTCATGAAGCTATGAAATGTTGCCCAAGTGCCGGTGCACCATGGACAAGCCTGTAAAAAGTGAAACCTGAAAACCTGCAGACTTGTAGATGTTAGGTCCGCATTCCCGTGATCAGGGTTTCTGCCTTAATATTGGCGCCTTGGTAATAGGAATGGGGTTTTGGGTAGATTGTAGTATGATGACAACTATATCATGTCCGACAGACCAACCCAAGGAACAGTTACACCCCCGAACCCACACCCTCAAGCTGCAAACACACATCACATATAAGCCGAAACCATAAACCCGAAACTCTATGCCAAAACCTAAATCTTAAAGGGGTAATTTAATTCTTCTTCGATCCCTATCCCTAAGCTTAACCCCTTAAACCCACCTACTCACCTAAACCCGACACCCTGAAGTGTAGGTCACAGCAGTGAAGCTGAGCCTGCCCCTGTCGATTGTAGCCTCAGCCCAAGGGCGGCGGGTTTACCTAGAACCCCCAACCACGTTGTCATATACCCTAAATACCCACTGTTACGGACCATAAGTGCTCTCTTAAAGGGAACCTCAGGGTCCTGGTAGGGTTTAGGGTATAGGGTCGTGGCAGAATTGATGAGTTGCATGTAGTAGAGACATGTTGCGAGTCTTGTAGGGTTTTGGGTTGCTTGAAGGGTCTTAGAAGGCTTCACATGGCAAAACGGGGCTGCAACTATTTCTATAGGTGTTGAATCACCATCTCTGGGGATTGACACTTCTAATTGATCAGGCCACCAAGGCCTAACCTAAACCGAAATAGGGTCAGGGGACCTATCCGTCCTGGCATCAGCACTTGTGCAGTTCCCTACGTTAGGGTCGCTTCTGGGGTCCTTGCTATAAGGGAGCCGTATATTATGGGGGAACCAAAGAAGGACCCTGAATAAGAAAACTTCCCACATGCCAGAAACCCACAAGAAGCAGGGGCCTAGGCTGCTCTGCTTGGACGTAAAACACAGCCGCCCGGAGCCTTAAGGTTATGGGGTCCGAAAACTCGCAACACCGAAACCCCCAAACACTAAACACCCTGAGCCGTAAACCAACGATGTGATTTCCTAAGTTTCCTCACGGCTTTTTGGGGCTAATTGAGGTGGACTAGTTATGTGGGATTTGAGGTTCAGGGGTCCAGGGTACGGTTTCAGGATTCCAGCTGACGCAAGGGTTCAACGGCCAGAGTGACGCCGTCACTTTACAGGAACCATACTCAATCTGCCTGTCTGTGCACCGGTGTTGGCTTATGTCTGTGAGGCGTGATTATTGTTAGTCCCTAAACCCTACATTAAACCCAAACAAAACCTAAACCTTAATTTTAAAGCCCAGTTCCAAACCCAAAAGCCTAAACCAAGATTAGCAACCCTGACGTTGATGCTACACCGACATGACTGACACAGGGGCCTTAATAGAACAGGAGTCTGGGTTATAATATACTGTAATAAAAATAAGGAGCCTCTCAAAGCCCTTGCATTAGCAGCTGCGAAATGTGTCAGTGGTGTCCGGGGCTGGGACATCGCGGCGGCGGTGGCTCTTCCTGGTCAAGATGGTATGTGTAGGGAGATTCGAGTTAATGCAGGCCCCAACCCCTAAACCCTGAACCCTAAACCATGAACCCTAAACCTCAAACCTTACACCCTAAACCCTGAACCTTAAACCTTGGACCCTAAACCCTGAAACCCCAAACCCCCCTAAAAAACCTCCACCCCTAAGCCCCGACCCCTGAACCTTAAACCCTAAACCTACTTGGAGGGGCAGGGGACTTAGCGAGTGGGTTATAAGTAAGGTGATAATTGGGGTAACTCCATTTAGGGTACTTGTACCTCTACTTATGACCTACTTACTAAGTCCCCTGCCCCTCCAAGTAGACCCTGAACCCTAAACCGCATAGATCCCTTTAAAGAACCCTGCAGATCCCTTTAAGGAGCCCGGGCCTTTATCCCTTTAAGGAACCCTATAGATCCCTTTAAGGAGCCCTAAACCTAGATATCCCAGGACCTTGCAAGGAAGCTATAGATCCCTTTAAGGAGCCCTATAGATCCCTTTAAACAGCCCTATAGATCCCTTTAAGGAGCCCTATAGATCCCTTTAAGGAGCCTTATAGATCCCCGGGCCTATAGATCCCTTTAAGGAGCCCATCCCGGGACTTTTTTCAAGGAAGCTGCAATCTTCCACCGCTCCTTCGCTTCAGCCGAAGGAGGGCCGAGGAAGGCCTCAGTCTCGCGTTAAAAGGGTTTAGGGGTTTAGGGTTTAGGGGTTTTAGGGTTTAGGGGTTTTAGGGTTTAGGGTTTAGGGGTTTAGGGGTTTAGGGTTTAGGGGTTTCGGGTTTAGGGTTTAGGGTTTAGGCTTTAGGGTTTAGGGGCTTAGGGTTTAGGGGTTTAGGGGTTTAGGCGTTTAGGGGTTTAGGGGTTTAGGGGTTTAGGCTTTAGGGTTTAGGGGCTTAGGGTTTAGGGGTTTAGGGTTTAGGGGTTTCCGAAAATGAGGGGTACCCTTAAAGGGATCCTTTAAGGGTTCCTAGAAGGGTTCTATAAAGGGTTTAGGGTTTAGAGTTTCCGAAAATGAGGGGTACCTTAGTTTGGGGTCCTTTCAGTACGGATCCTAGTTTTTGGGGTACCCTACTAGGGTCCCCTATAATCGGAAACGCCCAAATCTAAAACCAAGATGAACCGCCCTTGATCCAGGGTGTAGGGTTTAGGACCTGAGCCCTCAACCCCAGACACTAAACGCTGAACCCTAAACCCTACACACTAAACCGTAAACCCTAAACCCCGCATTCGTTTGAGGCCGGGCCGGACCTATCGTTGGCACTCGTGGCCGATACAGCAAGGAATTTGAGGGCTGGACAGTTTTCCGCTGCATTGACGGAGGTCCTTTGATAGGAGTTAGGAGTAGGGTTGAGGGATCCCTTATGGGTTCTTATAAGCGCTGTTTACACGTGAGGGGTTCTTTATCGAAGGGTTGTCCTGATTCAAGCTGTGGCGCTGAGTGGTGTATAAGTCTGGGTGTAGGTTGACTTCAGGGAGGGTATAGGTATCAATAGTCGTAGACGTTGAAATGTATACTTCACTGCACATGCTGGCTCTTGCAGAGCTTGCTGAACCCTGTCTCTCTGGCTCTCTCTAAGCTCCGCTCTTTCCCTCCATGCACACTCAGATGCACATATGTGCGCATTAAACCTGTCTCTGCGATCAGTCCTTACCCTAAACCCCTACACCGACACTCAATGACTGGGCTTGGAAGTAACCAGGGAAAAAGTATAGACTTTTGGTTCATAATTGGTTCCCGTTTAGTAGCAGGTCCCGAAAAAGTCTTCAAGTATAGTACTCCAAAGCCCAGGTGAAGCCCCAAACCCTAAACCCTAAACCCTGAACCCTAAACCCCAAGGTACTCCCGCAGCCTTGCCCGATCGACTGCGACCAGACGGCCTTGCCAGCTGGGCACGCAATGCCGTGGGTAGAGTTTAGGGGTTTAGGGTCTACTTGGAGGATCATGGGACTTAGTAAGTAAGGTTACAAGTACCTTAAGTGGGGTTATAAGTATAGTTACCCTAATTATAACCCCAGTTATTAAGTCCCATGATCCTTTAAGCAGGAGGTTGGGGGTTAAGGTTTAGGGGTTTAGGAGTTTGGGGTTTCGGGTTAGTTAGGGTCTAGGAGTTTTGGGGTTTAGGGTTTAGGGTAATGAGTTTAGGGGTTTGGGGTTCGGCTTAATTTGCAGGGGATGATCCGAACTCACAATGCCAGTGTGAGCTATAAGCATTTCTGTTTCAGGTCTTACGGGCTTGGGGGCTTTAGGGTGTAGGGTGAAGGATGTTGGAGGTTTATAAGGCTTGAGTTTAGGTTATGGAGTTTGGGCTTAGGGCTGGGGATTCGGTGTCAACCCTGAAGCCTAAACCCCTAAACCAAACCCCTACAGCCAACACCCTAAACCCCTAAACCCTAGTTTGCGGGAGGTCTGGTCTTTCCTCTGTTGGCAGATGGAAGTGATTCCCAAAAAATCGCACGAAGGTTGAGGGTTCGGGGGTGTAGAGTTTTCGTGACAATCATGACTCCTGTCTTCATGAGCTTTCGGGGAACAATAGCATTGGCAGTCTAGATAGATCAGTTGTTCGGCTTGGGCTGCAGGCCATGACGAAGAGCTTTTTGCTTCACAAGTCTGTAGGGAGCACCGTGGCAATTCCAAACCAGGCGTAGCCAAGCCTAATCCCTACTTCCCCAGCTTTTGCGCTAGAGCTCGTTCCGAACCCCTAGCGAATTCTGCTCAGATTGCCTCCTCGCCGAAGCCAGGTGGCAGGCGCGGCATGGCTCTGGCGATTTCAGGTTGTGGGATGCCGACTTTATTGGCATAAAACTGGCTTACATGAAGGGTCTTAGTTGCTTTTTCTAGGGGGAAGGGTTCAGGACCTCGTCAAGTAGTGCGCGAGGTCTCGCAGAGTTGGGAGGTTAACTGGGTAGAGAGCTCTAAGCAAACTACACGTAACTTTCCTAAGTCTCCGTGGTGGCTCTCCTTGATCTGTTGTAACAATCACAACGTTTCCAACAGCTTGCACTTCCTGACTTGGTTTACAGCTAGCTTAACGGTTACTGTCATACGATGGGGAAACACTACAACCCAGCAGGAGACTAGCTTTGACTCTCCTGCATGATGACGGACCAGGCCGGCAGGTGTGTTGCGATCTCTGATTTGGAAAAGCAGCTGTGCCAGACTAACCTAGGGCACATTCCCACACACACATGCCTGGAAGGGTTTGCACAAATTGTGATGCGGACTGCAGTCTTTACCAAGAAAGCTGTATAGACAGAGACTCACACTACAATAGAAAGTGCTGTGACAATGAAAACGATCAATAGCACTAGTGCCCATGACCAATGATACCATGTTCAACAGCCGCACAGGCAACTTGTCATTGGGGGAGCAGCCGGATAACCACAACCAAACCCTAAAACCCTGACCCTACGCGCCCAAAGCTGGAAACCAAATCGATCCGGCTGCTGCAGGTCGCCCGGTGCGATCTTTTGCGCGCCAGCTGTCTACGCTCCCCAGAAAGCCCAATCCTGCTTAACTACAGATGGAGTGCAATAAAATAGAGGGCTTCTAAGTCCTATCTAATCTCTGAACCTCAACCCTTATACATAGATATTGCCTGAACTAACGGGTGCTGGACTCTCTGGATCTGAGTCCTCTCCAGGGAGGGTCTCAGCTGAGACCTGGCTGCCTGCGGATGCATGCGAAGAGCAATTTGAGACTGTTCCCTGTGATTAAGAGGTCAGAGTTTGTAGGATTACATGTAGGATAGAATTTTAAGTTCTAGATTCCCTAAACCCTAAACCCTAAACCGTGAGTTTTGGAATTCTGAGTTCTGGGGCCTGGGGGGGAGATGTCTTCTAGGATTTGCGCTTGGGCTGGCCCGGAGGCTCGCAGGGATGCGGATCAGGGGCCGAGTGTGTGAGAGGTCGGTCGACAAAGTGCGGGTTCAGGCCGAGGATTACGACTTCGGAGTTTAGGGTTTACCTGTAGCCAACACCGTTTTAGGGTTTCTGGTTATGGTTTCCATATATAATTATATAGTTCCTTGAAAGGTAGGTCTTTTCGGCTACAGGTAAGACTTTAGGTTGAGGGGTTTAGGGTTTGGGGTTCAGGGTTTGGGGTTCAGGGTTGAGGGCTCAGGATTTACGACCAAGGTGTCAGGATCATAGACCTCTAGGACAATCCACCCGACTGTACCTCAGCGGCCTCGCTCCAGAGAGTCCTAAACACGGCAGAGCGATGTTACTGTGGGTGTCGGCCCTAAAATGGACCGAAACCCTAACTGTGAACCAACATCGCAAAGACTAAACCTTGTTCCAGACAAGGTTGCTGGAACACCCACCCAAAACTAGACCCAAGAGTAACCTAGGAAGAAAAAGGGTGCCCTTTTTGGTTTAATGGGGGTTATAAGGGAACCTAAACCCTTAAAAAGGGAATAAAGGCCTACTCTGGGTCCTAGAAAACCCTCAACTCTTTGCATGGAGCTTCTGGAACCCTAAACCCTAAACCTTGAAATCAGAAACCTTAAACCCTAAACCCTGAACCTGAAATCAGAAACCCTAAACCCTAAGGCCCTGAATCAGAATCCCTAAACCCTGAAGCTTGAACCCTTAATATAGGGACCTAAATAGTTCAGAATAGGGTTTGGGGGTATGTTATACTACGACTATAATGAGAATCCCCCCCAAAAAAACAGCATTGGTAATTGGTTGGGCCCCTATTTTAAACCCTAATATGTTGAGGATCTAGGGCCCAGGTATATTAAACCCTAAGCTTGGAATCAGAATCCTTAAACCCTATAAACCCTAAACCGCGGCTCTAAATTTTGAACCCTACTTGAAGGCTCATGGGACTGACTTAGTAAGTAAGGTTATAATTAGGTTATAATTAGGATAACCCCACTTAGGGGACTTATAACCCCGATTATGACCTACTTACTAGGTCCCATGATCCTCTAAGTAGACCCTAAACCCTAAACCCCATAGATCCCTGTAAGGAACCCTATAGATCCCTTTAAGGAGCCCTTTAGGAACCCTAACTAAGTACCCGAAGCTACAGGCCCAAGCCTGGGAGACGCCTAGTCGACTTCGAAGATCAGCCGCTGCGCATTCTTTTCGAGATACCGGCCCTTGATGACCTCAGCCACGGCTCTAGCGTTTCGGTAGTTTATAGAAATTCTCAAGGGCGTGGGTGCGATAAATTCCTGGGCAGTTTTGAGCGAAACTTGCTCTGTTGCACCTTTCTTTCCATGCTGGGGGTCTGGGCGGGCTGGGTTGGGGTGGGCTCGGCTGGCTGACAAAGGGTTCGGGTGTCGATATTTTGAACGAAAAGGTTTTTGGGGCTTGGCAGTTGCAGTTCGGGCTTCCGGGATCCGAAGGCCCTAGGCACCGGCTGTACGATGGCTGTATGTGTGCCGTGTCCTCTGTAAAACTGTGTGAGGACTGTATATGTGTGTATATACATGTACACATACACATACAACAATATGTCATGGGAGCAATAGCCGCTAGTCTTCGGTAGCCAGTGTAGCCCCTGTTCTGATTGCAAGCCAAATGCCCTGATGGCTACACTGGCTACACACGACAGACATACCGGCCACAAAGATTGCAGAAGCGAATGCCAGACAAAAGCGACAGCCTGAAGTTGCGTACAGCTGGCTGCCGAGGCCCACACTCCAAGCAGCAACGAAGCCACGATCAAGCCACTAATGCCTTGGCAAAATTTCAGGACCACGTCTGGCCCATGCATGCGTGTGGCTTCATGCCTTCAGTAATTATAGATGCACCAGCATCTTGCCGCGTCTGGGATTCAGGAGTTCGTGCCCGTAGTGCGCCGGACGGACATGCCTTCGAAGATTGGGCAGTATAGACCCCTGGTCACAAAACTGTCGCACATCTTTGCTGGCTGCGTAATACCGTTCCAGAAAGGGTCCATGTACCTATGTTATAGGTACTTAAGCCTCAAGGTACCAACATATGGGTTCGACATACTCTGCAGGCACGCATGGACCCTTAAAGTTCCCCTTCATACCAAGGTCTACTTTTTTCTCTCAACCGCTGCGGAAGCGTTTGCTGAAGCGTGAGGGAACGAAAACGCATTGAGCAGCATCCAGCTCTGTCGCCTCAGGGGTCGCAGGCTTCGTCCCTAAGGGTCCATGTGCCCAAATAGGGGTTTAGGGTTCCCATAACGGTTCTATAAGGGTACTATAAAGGTTCTATATGGGTTTAGGGTGCAGGGTTCAAGGGTCTATGTACCCATATAGCATATACTTGGGGCCCAACGTACCTATATAGGGAGTACTTTTAGGCCAGTGTACACTAAATGAGTACATGGGCCCTCAGGGAGTGTGGTTGGGGTTTAGGGTTTAGAGCTTAAGGTTTAGGGCTTAGGGTTTAGGGTTTAGGGTTCAGGGTTTAGGGCTTAGGGTTTAGAGTGTGTGGAGGGCCTGGACTAACTATCGGGCTTTGGACGTCAAGCTTGAATATATACAGCACGACCATATAGACCCTAGAGGTGCTCAAAACTGGCTTGGGGGCTTTCTTTGGGATCCTAAAGCTTGGGTTTGCATGTCTTAATCGTTCTACTCGTGGTCTGTAATGACTCCTTGCTTATGACGAAGAACAACTATGACATTTCAGCCGTGGCTACTATCAGTTACTAACATCATCACGTTCCGAATGGAGCCGTGTCTTCTTATGCTTTTGCTCTGTTACAACTGGCCGCAAGGAACGAGGCACAATGCTACTGTAAACCCCAAATGTTTGGATGCACGGTGCACGGCAGTTCTGTTCAAAATTGGCGAAGTAGCACAAAACATGCAGACGGACTTGCCGAACAGTTTTCCGACGTAGGCAAGCTCGACTCCACATCGGCTGAATAGAAAAAACACGCGGACGACGTTGCCGCAAGCTCCAAACGCCAATCCCATTCGCTAAACTCCAAACTCAACCCCCCAACCCTGTAAGACCTAACCCTAAGGGTCCATGTGCCCAATCAGTATATACTTTGGCCTTAGAGTAGTCCCTGTATGTCACATACTTTGGGGCCAATCTCTGTACTAATCGGGTACATGGACCCTTAGGTCAAACCATGACCTCCAAAAACCGGCAGCCCCTTAGCCTCCTTGCCTCGTCCGCTGGTGCCATCGTCGCTGCCCTACGCGTGGCCGCATCGAAGTCGATCCTGTGTCCAAACTTGAACCCTAGACCCTATAAGCCATAAACCCACAAGCCCCGGACACCCCCCTAACCGCCCTTAGAGCCATACTAATGGGACATCAACCATAGTCCCTTGCAGATTTTTTCTACCAAAAACCAATCATAATTGCTGAGAGCAGGAAAGTTCCGAGACGCGGCTATGGGTTGTGGGCGTCAGCATTTGTGTGGTTCAGGGTTTTGGCGTTTATGCATTTTGGGGCTTTCTGGGGTTTGGGTTTTTGGAGCTTGAGGGTTTGGGGTTGTAGGGATGGGGTTGGCGGGCTTGTGGTTTAGGGTGTATGGTTTTCTGCTAATAATTATACTTGGAATGGCAGGGGACTTGGTAAGTAGGTTATAAGTAGGGTTATAATTGGGGTATCTCCATTTGGGGTACTCATAACTCTACTTATAACCTACTTACCAAGTCCCTGCCCTCCAGTAGGGTACATGGTGTATGGTTTTCTGCTAAAACAGGTGCCTTATTAATTATACTATAAATGTAATCCTGGTAATTGTTCAGGCCCCTATATGTGTTTCATATAGCTTAGGTTCGCAATGGTGTTGCCACTCCGCTGCTAATGCCACGTCGAAGCCTCCTAGACAGCACAATATCACGATTACGGCTAGCGGCTAGCTAGTTACTTACTATCAAGGGGTAGTAGGAGGGACCCTTAATAAGGACCCCTAGGTATATACCCTTAATATAGCTATTATATACCCATTATATAGCCCATTATCGGGTAGGGGTCCCCATTAAGGGTCCCTCCTTTTCCCCTTTGATACTACTCAGCACAAGACCAGCTAGTCTTGGATTCATGTTTTTCCAAAGAAAATCGGCAAACTCGGAACCCTCATAAGTAGTACCTATATTCGTACTCAGGGTTCCTTACTATAGCTTACCACTATTTTGAACGGTGGATCCTAAAATCTGTCATAATAGCGGCCCTGATAATGATTGTAATAAGGAGCCCCCCCAGAATAGTATAGGTAATTATTAAGGTCCCTATATCTTGGCTGACTTCTGAACCTCTCCAGAAAGTTAAACTTTTAGCCTCCTTATTATGATTCATATAGGGACACAAAAAGTTAAAGTCCTAAGAGCCAACCAGAAGAACGCCAAGATACTGTTGATGGACAAAATCCTGCATGACCCATAATAAGGAATATACCATAATTCCCATTGTTTAGGATCCTTAAGGTAATGCAGGATTGTGTCCATCAGCAGTATTATAATCATACTGCCAGTCACCCTACCCAGGCTGAGCCTGAAACCTGCACTCAGATCCCCTTGAGTGGGTCGCAAGATGGCATCCTTGAAATGGCAGGATACTTTTTTCGGGGATTCAATTTGGGAACAAACCCATATACTAAGATTACGCCGAAGAGCCCTCGTTTTGAAGACAGCTTTAGTCGTGCGAGATAAGCAGCCCCTATATGGAGCCCTTGGCAAAGCCCTCGATGGAACCCTTTACCCAACCCCTTCCGAGCAGAACCTCTGTAAGGGGGATCTGAATATGCCGTAAATCGCCAGTCGGGCCGCTGCGTGTCGTCCTCCAGAAGGCACAGAGCCAAGGGGCTTCCCAAAAGCTCGATTCCGGTGGCCTCCTGGTCTGTTCAGGGCACACGGTGTAAACATACATACATATACATACATGCATATGCATGCATACTGACATATATATATATATATGTACACACACATCTCTATATTATATATATATATATATATGTATAGACTATAGATACATACACACACACACACATGTGAAGATACTTTTCAAATTCCAAGCTTTGCTGCATGCCAAAACTGCGGCCCGGAGCTCGAAACTAAAGCACCATGTAGCATGGTGGGTTTAGGGTTTAGGGTTTAGGGTTTAGGGGTTCAGGGTTTAGGGGTTCAGGGGTTCAGGGGTTTAGGGGTTTGGGGGTTTGGGGTCTAGATGTTTAGGGGTTTGGGGGTTTAGGGTTTAGGAGTTTAGGGTTTAGAGGTTTAGGGGTTTAGGGGTTTAAAGATCGTGGTCGGAATTATTCGTAGTAGTGTCCCCTTATTGTCTTTGCATAATGCAATAAAGCCCCAAAACGCTGTGAGCCATGCGCTACTTACCTTTGCTACGCATCCTCTGCAAACTTACCTATGGTTAGTAGGGAATGGAGGAATGGGGCACAACTATTACTACCATTCTTCCATTCCCGACTAACCAAAGGTAAGCAAAGGCCCACGTGCCTTGAGAGCCTCTTGCGCTGTCTCTGCGGATCGGAACCTGGGGAAACGAAGTCGGGAGTCTGGCGCAACCGGGATTTAGGGGCTTATAGGGTTCAGGGTTTCGGGGTTTAGGGTTGAGGAGTTTTAGGATTTAGGGTTTAAGGGTTTAGGATTTAGGGTTTAAGGGTTTAGGATTTACGGTTTCAGGGCTTAGGATTTAGGATTTAGCTTGGGTTAGGGTTCCTTCAAGCTTCGATCAGGTCTATTTACGGGTTGAGCAGAGGGCCTCAATCGTTCGAGCAGGGTTTTGGGGGGCATATGAGTTTTGCACTAAGGAGCCCTCGGGAAGGGTTTAGGGTTTAGGGTTTAGGGTTTAGGGTTTAGGGGTTTAGGGTTTAGGGTTTTGGGGTTTAGGGTTTAGGGTTTAGGGTTTAGGGGTTTAGGGTTTAGGGTTTGGGGTTTTGGGGTTTTGGGGTTTAGGGTTTAGGGTTTTCAGGCTCCTAGTGTTATGGGTTTGCATGGAAGGCAGGCTCGAGGTTTTTTGGCAGTAGGGTTTGGGGTTTGAGGCCACCCTGCAATCCCCGAAATTTGGAAACCGTAAACCCTAAACTCTAAACCCCTAAGCCCCAAACCGGTGGTCCCAACTAAGCCCCAAGCTTTTTATCGCTGTGGAGTCTCCTGGCTTTGAGTTTGAAGGCCTCCCTTGAGGGTTCCTTGTGACTCAAAGGCTTTCTTTCGGGGCTTTAAAATCCGCGGTTGCTAGAAGGGTTTAGTACAGAGACCCGAGTCAAAACGAGAATTTAGCCAGGCCCCTACGTAGTATGGAATCGGGGCTTACGGCAGCTTCGGGGTACAGTGAAGAGCCGATAGCTCGAGGTCTGAAAACGATTGTTTTAGGGATTCGGGCGCTTGGGGGTTAATGTAGGAACCTGATTAAGAAACCTTGGGCCTTTACTGTAATTTGGCTCTGTATATGAATCGTACTATTTTGGGGGTGTCGGCCCAGGAGTTCCTGAAACAGGTTCCTACATTAGGGGATGTGTTGAGGGCCCATGTCCGTCCCCCCAAGATTGAGGAATGCTTCGGTCAGACAAAGCCAGGGTTCAAACACAAGGGTCTGAGCGAAGGTTTTGGGATCGGCTAATACAGGAATAGGGTTTCGCAGCACGCCATCGTACAAGCATAGCAACTAATCTTGAGGAATTGGCAGTTACTTAAGCCTCTTTACTATACTCAGAGCGCTGGCGTTCTTTTCTTCTGAAACCTTTGCTGCGCCATAAACCCAGAGACTCCAAAATCCCTTAATTAAGGAATATGCCTTCCTTAAATTTAGGAGGACCCCTAATATGATTTAAAGTATATTCCTTAATTAAAGGATTTTGGAAGGTCTGGGAAGCCCAAAAGAAACATCTCAAGGATGAGAAACCCTAAACCCTAACCCCTAAACCCCTAAACTTGTAAACCCTAAACCCTTGAGAACCATCCTTTTCGGATCGTTGCCATCTTTGGTTTATGTCAGGGTACCTTGTTGTCTGTCTGGTTAAAAGGGTTCCTTTAAAGGGGTCTATAACGGCTACTATAAGGGCTTAGGGAGTTTAGGGTTTAAGGTTTGGTGTTTCTGAAAGGGTAGCTTCCGAAGCTTCCCTTAGGGCTCGTTGTAAGAATGATCTCTTTTGCTGTCTTTCGGTGCTATCAGGGTCCCTCATTTTCTGGAAGCACAACGGCCAAGAAGCTCGCAAAGCCCACTTTGGGCTACATGAAGCGCTTCCTCTCTTTTGGGGGTAGGCGAGTTTACGGCTTAGGGTTTACGGGGTACATTTGTCGGGTGCAAAGTCTGGGTGGGCTTGCACAAAACCCATACCTGTTGCTCCAAAGCCTACACAACAGGAGGTTATGACCGCTGAGTTTTAAGGTCTAACCTTTCAAAAATAGGCTTTGGGATCCCCGAGTAAACCCCACACCCCCAAACCCTTAACCAGAGTTTTGGGTCCGCTGTCGGGGCCGAAGCCGGAAATCTACACCCCAAACCCGAAACCCAACATCCTACATAAACTCTAGGCCTTAGAAGCTGCCCCCACCCTGTAATAAAGGATTACAGTAGGGCCCTATTATATTCCTATTATGCCACTATTACAGGATGGGGGCAGCTTCTAATCTAAGCCGTTGAAAGTCAAGGGTCGAATCCAGGGATCCCACGACACCGAAGAAACTTCCGGTTCATTGATATGGGGGACTGAAAGTGGGCCTGAATAATAGTTAGAATTAGAATCACTAGAATGGGGATTTGGGTAAACTGTCCGCCTGAATAATAGTTAGAATTAGAATCACTAGAATGGGGATTTGGGTAAACTACAGTCTCAATAAAGAACCTCTACAATTATAGTGGTAATTGTTTGGCCTCTGGCTCTACTGCGAGAAAGGTTGGGTTAGACTCTAGACATGTGACCTTGGGAGACTTTGCTTCTGTATAAGATTTGAAGGCTGTACATGGAAGTTGCTCAAAGATAGGGTTCCCTTAAAGGGCTCCTTTAAGCGATCTATATGGGTGACTATTAAGGGTTCTATATGGGTCTTTGGGGGTATTTAGGGGATCATTCCCTGTAAGGTGCCCATGCCCAGCTGGGCTTGCCGCATTGGAAACAGACCCTGTGTGCAACCATCCCAACATGAACTGCTACACCCAAAAAACCCATAGTACGTCGAACCTAGGAATAGTAGTAAACCCCCTGATGCCCCAAACCCCGAACCTTAGACTGTTAATCTCTCAGCCCTTAGCCCTAAGCAAAACCAAAAGCGATCAACATGGGCTCCAGGGGGTCCGGATCTCGTAGAATGCGCACAGCCACCAGCCCGTGCATGAAGCTGAAGATGGCCTGGTGGCTGAAGGATCTTTACAGGGCTTTACGAGGTTAGGGCTTAGGGGGTTTAGGATTCCGTTCTGGGTTCTTTTTCAGGGATCTGTAGCAGTTCTATGAGGGTTTGGAGCTTAAAGTTTAGGGGCTTCATCATGGGCTTCAGGGCTTAGGATGGCTTAGGCTAGGGTTGGGGGTTTCGGTTTAGGGTTTTTTTTGTCGGATTTTTATGTCCTGGCTTAGGGTTAGGGCCTTCGGGCTTTGGATACCAGCGATCCATCAAAGCTTTGTCCCTCCGGGTTCCGGATCCATGGCTTTGGGCTCAAAAAGGGGCCTTGCTAATCAGAATAGGGTTTGGGGGCCCATTATACTATACTTATAACAAGGAACCCAAAATAGTATAGGTAATGATTAAGGCCCCTACGGTTGATGATATAAATCCTGCATTATCCATAATAAGGAATATACCAAAATTCCATAGCTTAGTGTCCTTAATTAAGGTAATGCAGGATTTATATCAACAACAGAAGGAACCCAAAATAGTATAGGTAATCATTAAGGCCCCTATAGTCCGTTCCAGGTGTCTGGGCCGCTTTTGGATGATGTCAAGGCTTTAAGAAAGGTGGATCGCAAGAGCCGATCCGGGACCGTCAACTTAGGGACCCAAAAGGCACATAACCATACGCATTTTATAGGGATATCCCTACCTTATTGGACTTCAATATAAGGGGGTGTATACGGGATATCCCCATCCTAATTTTTGCTTATGTGCTTTTTTGGGGTCCTATCAGCCCCTGCTGGCCACTGCGGCTTAACATCTCCCGAAGGTCTAAGCTTGCCCAAACCTTGATGCCAAGTCACCTCTCCAAAAATCCTAAACCCCTAAACCCTACCTAGCCCCCATAAACCCTTAAACCCTAAACCCTAACCCCTAGGTTTCAATGAGATGTGGACTTTGGGTTCACGCAGGGCTTGCAAGAGAGGTTTAGGGGCCTGAATGGCCAGACTAGGGATGGGGGGTGCTTATTATATAACTGGTATTGGTAGTTAATCAAGACCTTGTATTATAGAAGCCTAAACCCTGACCTTCCATTATAGAACCCTAAACCCTAAACAGCTCGTATAAAAAATGGAACCCCGACCCGTATAGGAACCCTTAGGATCACCCTAAAAGGCAGGCGTAGCGGCATGAAGGTCAAAGACCGTCGTCTGAGGAGCGAGGTTCGTCACGGAGATCACTCCTTAGCGCCCCAAAGATTTAATGGGTAGTGTTTAGAAGCCTGCCAACAGCTCTAGAGTGCAGAAATGGCTTTGTGTTTGCATCTGTGTTGGGTGAAAAAACCATGCAGGGCACATGTCTCTTCTGCTTCTTCTTCGTGCTCGCGGTGGCTGCTAAGATTTCCCATGTCAGAAATTGGAGATCGGTGGTTTGGGAAGGTTGAGTGATGGATGTATAGCCCTGAGGGGCCATGTACTCATATATATATATATAGTATATACATTGGCCTTGAAGTACTCCCTATATAGGTACATTGGGCTCAAAGTATATGCTATATGGGTACATGGACCCTTAGGGTAGGCGATGGCATGCAGGAATCATGCTCCAATTAAGCATTCAAGCTTCCGGTAATAGCGAAAGCTTGCTGCAAAACTCTAGCTGCCGAAGCACACAGGTGAATCCGATTGCTCCATGATGCTCCTAAACCGCAACTATACTGAACCTCTAACCCTAGCAACAATTAAAAATTCAGCTGTTTCTTAGGGCTTATACTAACCAAAAATTAAAACAATTCCAAGTACCCCTAAGTCCAAGCCAGAAGCTGCATGTCTACACATGCGTAATCCGACGAGATGTGAAATAACCACGATTCTTTGAAAACCACATTGCAGGCAAATAGTTGCAGACAGATCAAACACCTTGAAACCTTGCAAGAAAAACTACCATGAAGAGCCCGAACTTCTGATTCGGACTCACTTATCCCAAGCCTACGCTTTAGGCCTGTGCTGCCCCTGACGGTCTGCTTTTCGTCTGAATCCCTGCTTGAGTGCGAAGAAGCTGCGCTGCGTTCGGGGCCTCTTCTGCGTGGACGGCGGGAAGTGCAGAAAAATGTCCTCTGCTTCCCTTAGATGGATTGAGTTAGAGATAATTTAAGGTAGTAGTATGTAACAACATAGCACAAGATGACACAAAGAAGAGTAGAAAACACAAGTTAAGATACCATAGTGTAAAATCAGATCAGATAACATAAGATAGAACAAGATCAGGTTGCATAGTATGCAGGGCTTGGGGGCTCCACATTAGCTATATATGACGATGGCTCTCCCGGAACGTCGTATTCTACATCTTGGGCTTCTAGGGCACTCGATGATGAGATTAGGGTTGTAGGGCTTCCTTTCAGGGGTGTAGTACAGTATAATGATACTCAGGAGCTGTAATTACACTGTCTGCACTGTTGTCAGTCAGAGATAGACGGCAAACTCGTTTAGGAGCCTTCATCATTAGAACAAGGCTTTAGGGTGTATTATACGGAAACATATAAAGGATACCCCAGGAATAGTATTACAACATACATAGCACTCACGCTTCTATGTCAGTGTTCTGCGCTCAGATAGCCAGGGCTGTCTCACGTTGGTGTCTGTGTGTCTCAAACTTGTAGCAAAACGCCCGCCGAAGCCATATCCTTAAATCCGCAAAACAAAACACCTGAGGAAGGCTGACACGCGAGATCCCGCTTGTGGTGAAACGCACATCGTCGCACGAGCCCTGATCCTTCAGACGCCCTGATGGCTCCGATTCTCACAGATGCTCGAAGTAAAGAGCCTGACATGTTGACACGGTGTAACACCATCCCAGATTCGGTTTAGGGTTTAGGGCTCAGGGTTTAGGGCCAAACCTTGAACATATACCCGAAGGCATCCGAAGGAGAGTGGTGAAGCATATCTTGCAATACCCAGAGTACCGTCAACTATGGCAATCATGCACTGTACAGTTCCCAGTCTATGTATAGCGAGGGCTTTCGTCCATCAGCACAATGCCATCATCGTAAACCCGAAACCCTAAATCTATAGTATAGTCTCCATTGTAGTTCCTTTTTGGGTTAACCAGCTTTATGGTTAGGACCCTATAATCTAGTTTTTATTTAGTTTACGAAAAAAGGAACTACAACGGAGACTATAGGCAACACCGCATTTTACCATGTCAGGGGGCTGCTCTGCGCCCCATCGGTTCTTCGGCGCTGAATCCGCCTGGAACCTGGTGTGGTGAGATCTAAGCAGAGTTCTCCTTGGGGTAGATCTATAATTCGAACAGGGTTTTGAGGTAGGGTCTACTTTAAGTATCATAGGGAACTTCAATAATTACTAGGATTGATAATTATTGAGGCCTATGTATGAAGCAGGCTTTTCCGTGGGGACGATGGGATTCTAGGAGCCGGGTGCTTGCGATGTGAGCTCAGAGTTTGTTTGCAGAATATGTGGGGTTTTGAAGTGCTGGCTTTTCGCTTGTTGAGACCCCTCTGGGTTCCGATCTACATGGGAGTTTCCGAAAATTGGGGTTAGCTTATTTTGGGGTCCTTATACTAAGGATGCTACTACTTAGGATACCTTATTAGGGTCCCCAAACTCTCCGAAGCTCCCACATCGTGGTGACACCTCAGAAAGTCAGAAGCTGCAGATGTCGCGGTTTGGGAGTGAGGGTCTCGGGGGCCTCGGATTTAATTAGGGTCCATGGGTGTAGGGTTTAGGGTATATGGGTTTTAGGGTTTTAGGGTTTTAGGGTTTAGGGTTTAGGGTTTAGGGTTTAGGGTTTTAGGGTTTTAGGGGTAGCAGATCCAAGCTCGTTTCATAACCACTGGGTTCGACTAGACGCCTTGACTTTTGGGGGGACGTAATCTTGGACGTTCTTCCGTAGGAAACCAAGTACCAGGCACAGGGACGGCGAAGGAACGAGATTGTGCTGAGAAAGGCACCGCTTCATCCTTTCAAACAACTCAAAGAATACACATCTTAGATGCAGAGTTCATAAGCCCCAAAGAGTGTGCACTTCTAGTTTGATATTGGGTAATATTATCCCCAAAAGAGTAAAGTGTATTCACTCAGCTACTAAGACATCACGTCTAGGCACCCACATGCAAAACTTATTTATCGAGTTCATAAACACCAACAAACTAGACTTCGAGTTGTTATGGCGAAGAGTGAAAAGTATACTAGCTTGGCTACCACGAGAATAAGCACGGCAAGGGCTGGGAGAACATTTCTCTGCAGCTGCTCTTCTACAAAGCCCGACGTCTCTGTCGATTTTATGTACTTAGAGTCGGCCCCTTGTGGTTTACAAGCTGGCGGGTTTATTACAGGGTGCTGATCCATGCCTTGAGGATAGCCCTTTATCCAAAATCTCCACCCTTTCAGACCTTTACCCAGGCCCCCGAACTCAAAACCGCAAGCTCAAGCTCAGAACCCTACCCGAAACCTCTAATATCCTCACACCCTTCACTCCCAAATATCGGTACATACCATCATCTGGCCCCGGAGCCCTCATCTCATTATTAAGGGACACAGTTAAAAATACACAGTGAAACAGACGATAACACCCGCACAGTCCTTACACACAAGAACAGATAGCGGCCGTTCGAAGGCCTGGGCTTGTGCGGCTTTTTCGACTCCTGGGGCTTGGGATCATGGGGCTTAGTAAGTGAGGTTAGAAGTACCGTAATTGGGGTTATAAGTATATATATATAGTCAAGACCCAAGAGTAACCCAGGCATAAAAAGGATGCCCTTTTTGGTTTAAAGGGGCTTATAAGGGAACCTGAACCCTAAAAAAGGGAATAAGGGCCTACTCTGGGTCCTTGTAGTTACCCCAATTATAACCCCAGTTACTAAGTCTCATGATCCTTTAAGCTGGGGCTTGGAATCACGTCCCCAAAGGCGCTAAGGACTCATACGGTTGATGATATACATCCTGCATTACCCGTCATCGGGAATATACCATAATTCCCGTAGTCGAGGGTCATTAAGGTAATGGAAGACCATACTATATGAAGATGTTGGGCTGCTTTGCCTTAGGGGTTGACTCGAGGAAAACGCAGGATCGCTTTTAACAAAGACCCTTTTGAGACATCCTTCGAGGAGCCTTGATAATTAGACCGGGGCATTATGCAGTAGTAAAGTATCGTAAAAGTTGTGGAATCCTAACGGATCCTACTGCAAACTCTTCAAGCTTCCCTATACTACTGTTGATGATATAAACTAAACCCTGCATGACCCATAACAAGGAATATACCATAATTCCCATAGTTTAGGGTCCTTAAGTAAGGTAATGCAGGATTTATATCATCAACAGTACCAACTTCTGCTATTCAGCTGTTCGCGGTGCAGGGCTGGGATTTGAAGCCTTTAAGGCTTGCGGGTTTTAGGGACTTGGAGTTGTAGCGTTGGGGGATTTCGGGTTTCATGGGTCTAGGGTTTAGGGTTCAGGGTTTAGGTTCGGGTTTCAGTTTTCATGAGTCAAGGTTTAGGAGGTTAGCTAGGATGCCCAGTAACCTAGGCATAAAAAGGGCTCCCTTTTTGCTATCGGGTAGCTTCATAAGCAACCATCGACTACAAAAAGGGAACGTTAGGGATATAGGGTTTACGGCGGTTGCTTTTGGCACTCTCCAGCGGTCTTCCAATAGTGATAAATGCAGCTCTGGACCAGGATGATGAGGCTGATGAAGTAGAGAGGGTGGTATGGGACCAGGGTGAGGATGATGATTGTGATGAACTTCTACTAGACCCAAGAATAACCTATGTAAGCATACAAGGGGTGACCTTTTTGGCTTTAAGGGGCTTACAAGGGAACCTGAACCCTAAACAAAAAGGGAATAAGGGCCTACTCTAGGTCCTAGTCTAGAACCGCATTCATAAAACGACGGCAACGACGAGACAAGGACGACGGGCGACAACGATCGCAAGTAGCAGAACGGCGTTTGTGCATCTTCCAATGCCGGGCCTACCTTGGGAATATAGAGGCCTTAATGATTACCTATATACTATTTTGAAGGCTCCTTATCATAAGTATAGCACAATGGCCCCCAACACCCTATTCTAATTTTCGTGATATTAATTAAGCCCCAGGCCTTGACTCATAACATTGATGTTGTACTTGTAGGGGCAGGGGGCTTCGTAAGTAGGTTATAAGTTGGGTGATAGTTGGGTAACTCCATTTAGTTACTTATAACCCTACTTATAACCTACTTACTAAGTCCCCTGCCCCTCCAAGTATGATTGGTGCGGTCCACAAACCCTCGACGTTTCAACTACCTGTACGGTGCATACGGTGCCTCGATGATGCCAGCAGCTTCCTGACGAGCCTTGCAAAATATGGGCAGTAGACCCTAAACCCCTGAACCCTAAAGCCTTCGGGGCTTGAGTTCGGAATTTTGGGGCCTTGGACATCAAGGGTTCAAAGCGGTAGGTTTATGGTTCAGGGCTTGGGGGTTTAGGGTTTAGGCTTCGGGCTTCGGGCGTTGCAGGTGTAGACAGAAGAGTCTGCTTGGGTTCTGAGCTTCTGGACGGGGTTATCTCATGGATGCAACTTGCACCGCAGGTTCCGGGACAGTCTACACATGATGCTGAGGAGATGCTGGGCATGAACCCCTGCAAGCCCCACTTCACCCTAAACTATCAGTACTATCCGGAAACTTGCTGATGTCCTCTATGGGTGGTTGTCAAAATTATGGTCACTTTTTGGGTCCTTATAATACAATACGACACCTAATATTTTCGGGTACCCAAAAAGGGACCATAATTTTGACAACTACCCCTATGACTAGGCCGCCGACGCTTCAGGGCCCTACAGCACAGCTACAACCCACAAGCCAAGCGAGAGGATGCTTTAAACTTTAAACCTTGAGCCCTTCAGAATCTAGGGCCGGAGACTACTATAGGGGCCTTTAACAATTAGAACAGGGTTTTGGGGTATATTATACTATACTTATAATAAGGCACCCCCAAATAGTATAGGTAGTTATTAAGGCCCCTATATTCCGATTCAAGCATAGAAGTTTGAGCATGAGCGGCCTGCTTCGCACGTGTTTTCAGGACGGCCAGCACATCGCGGCAGCCTCCCAGAGAACTGGAGGTCCCCAAAGGGTTCCTTTTAGGGTTTAGGGCTTAGGGCTTAGGGTTTTAGGGCTTTGTTATGTTTTAAAGTGCAATGAAGCCTTCTCCTGCATGAGGTCCAGTCTAGGTTTTAGGGTTTAGGGTTTAGGGTTACCGGACTTTTGATTACTCGCCGGTTCGCTGCTGAAGGCGGAGGGTTCCTTTTAGGGTTTGGGTTGAGGGCTTAGGGTTACAGGACTCCTTCCTAAGCAGTGTATCAAACCTTAAACTTGGGTTTCCCAGTATTAATCAAGGGTGTTGCAGTAGTGGGGTCGTAGTCGCCGTCGTCGTGGAGTAGCAGTAGCAACAGGTGTAGTAGTAGTAGTAGTAGTAGTAGTAGTAGTAGTAGTAGTGGTAGTAGTAGTAGTAGTAGTAGTAGTAGTAGTAGTCGTGGTGGTGGTGGTAGTAGTAGTAGTAGTAGCAGCAGCAGTCGTCGTCGTCTTCGTTGTCGTCGCAGTAGTCGTAGTCGTAGCAGCAAGCAAAGGAGTTAGAGAAGTATTCGTGGGAGCAGCTGCAGTTGTTCAACATGAAAGTGCTGGGTCGAGCTCTGAACCCAAACCCACACTTCTACATTCTGGGGTCTTCAAGAAAGTCCTGAAGGGCATGTGCACACTCAGCGGGCCAATCTTCGAAGCCGTACATGAACAGTTGGCGCTTTTCAGGCCAACTCTTTCCGGGGGGGGGGGTGCAAGTTTGCACCTGTGAGGACTGCTCCTGTAACAAGATGCAGGTACATGGGAGTCTCCAAAAAGTTAGGGGTGCCTTATTTAGGGGTCCTTTTAATAAGGATCCTACTAATTGGGGTACTGTATTAAGGTCCCCTATTTCCGGAAACTCCCACATTGCAGGGGGTTAGCATTGACTTTTGCTGAGGTTTGGAGAGCGTGATGCTTTCTGTTGAGCGCTGCCACCCGAAGCTGTCAGGAAGCCTAGAGTGGAGTATCTTAAGTGCGCTGGAACATGAATCGCGAAAGCTCCCAATTTCCGGAACCGGAATCGAGAGCTGGCAAGGTCCACAACATCCCCAAACGCTAATCCCTGAACACTAAACCCTAAACCCTCTCCGAGCACGAGCCTGACATACTGCCTCGGCGCAGAACTCCCTGCTGCTCGATCTGGCAGGGATGGTCTGGGTTTCTATATGCATATATATATATATATATATATATATATACTTATATATATATAGAGAGCTACAACGTTATGTGTACATACTTCAGCATAATTATCGTTTACCTACTTGTGTGTATGTATATATATATATATATGAACGTGTGTGTATATGTATACATATATATATATATATATATATATATATGCATGCATGCATACGGTGTTTTAGAACTCGTCGCCCAGTATCCTCAGGGAACTAACATACAGGGGTTATCAAACCCCAAAATGCTTAAAGGTTACCTACTCTACTACTACGCAGAACAGTCTGACCTATCGCAAGGTCCAAGGGCTTCACAGTTTCAGGAAGCAAAACTGCAGATTCGGTCTTTGGGGCTTGGGGTTCAGGGGTTCAGGGTTTCGTGGTCAGGGTTCAGGGGTTTAGGGGTTTGATGCGGCTTAGGGTTTAGTGCTTACAGCCAAGGTAATTAAGGCTTACAACAACGAACCTCCTGTCCTCAGCCGATCCGGTCCAAACCAAGCTTAAAGCAGCAGTGCGAAGAAGGTTTCAGAGGCAAGGGGTGCACCAAGGCTTGACATAGAATCCCGCCGCATGGAGCGAGGATTTCATCAGGGGCGGGGCTCGAGAACGCAGATTGCATACACGTGATAAACCTTTAAAGACTTTAAGAACCTCTAGAAACCAACGAACACCTTTTGTTCAAATTTTGGCAAATCCAATAACATCCAGTGGTTCATACATATATGTATAAATATCAGGTTGCGAAAGTGCTGTAGCAAGTTAAACGATTCAAGGGCTTTGCTTCTCAAAAGTTGCCAACAAGCCGGCAGCACGTGGCTCATTCGCCGCAGCAGTCGGACCGCCTTCATCTCACATGCGGAGTGCATATGTGCCTGCACACATATGTATGTGGTATAGTATATATGTGTTCTACAGGATGAATCTGCCCATCTACAGTATTCGTTCTACAGTATCGATGAGGCTCAATCAGACCCTGAGTAGTAGAATCCTCCTTCCACGACAACTCCTGTCTTTTAGCTCGGGGTGGACGTTATACATGGGCGTGACAGTTTGCTGACATCTGTTGACTGGTTGTGGACAAGGGCCCCGGTAGAGGCTGCTACGGAAACAGCCATGGAATTGCTGATGCTTCTTCATGCTGTGAAAACCAATGCAATTATCGAAACTGTAGATGCTGTGTTTAGGACGGACAGTGACTGTTTCGGATGGGCTCGCGACACGAGCAGGCCGAGGGCAAGAGGGTGAAGGTTATTCTAGGATGTGGTTTCGAGACTGTTGCTTTCTCGTAACCCTTGTCTTTCTCTACTTTGACGCAGGCACCCGCAGTATTCGGACACCGTCGTTAAATCTTAGGCACTCTTGGTCATTGGACTGTTGGCAGCGTGGCGCGCGTCCCCAATCCTACCATTGCTTGTTTAGGTTTTAGTGATGAAGGGGTGTAGGTCTCAGTGCTCAGGAGTGTGTAGTATAGGGGCCTTAATAATTAGAACAGGGCTTTGGGGCTCATTTTACTGTACTTATGACAAGGAACCCCCAAAATAGCATAGGTAGATATTAAGGCCCCTATAGTATAGGTTTACGGTTTCTGGAACCTGGCAACCCTCTGGCCGTGACGCCTCAAATGCTGCCAAACCGTGGACCATGAACACCTCAACCCCTCAGAGATCCCAATATCCCTTAATTACGGAATATACCTTAAAGTTTAGGGGCCTTAATATTATGGTTCAAGGTATATTCCTTAATTAAGGGGTATTGGGTTGACTAGGCCTACACAGGGGTTGACGAGTTCGAATTCCCGTTAAGGCAGTAACTTTGGTTTAACAGTGAACAACCTCCGTTCTCATCAGAAACCTCAGAAAGATGTTGATTCTGGAACCATGCCTGTGAACCCTAGACCCAAACACACGCTGGATGATGTAAAATCCTGCATTACCTTAATGACCCTAGACTATGGGAACTATGTGGTATGTTCCTCAGTACGGGTAATGCAGGATTTACATCATCAACCCTAAACCCTAAACCCCCTATAGATCCCTTTAAAGGAACCCTAGGATTTGCGTCATCAACCGTATCCAGGCCTCCTCATGCTGGCTCAGGTCGCGGTTGGCATGGATGAAGGCCTCCACAGCCTGCGATTGCAGCAACAAAAACACCCTTTCGGGGTTTTAAAGTTTCTAGTTTAGGGTCTAGGGGTTTAGGGTTTAGAGTTCGGGGTTCTAGTAAAATCCGACCATATCATAGACCTTGAAAGTGTTTTCGGGTACCCCGGTACCCCGCAGGATCTACACGCCAGAAGACCCCGGGCACAAACTCCAAAGTCCAAAATCCAAAAGCCTCCACCGGCCTTAACCAAATCCCAAGTTCTATAAACCGTCCTACAGGCCCTAATTAAAGCACCATCGCTAACACCGCCGCAAAATCTGCAAGGACTATCCTTGTGACAAGTCGCTCTCTTTTGGAGCATGTATACGATGAGCGCAATAACTGTGATCCTTGTGTGTTCGCACATCCTGCTGATAATAATTTCTGTCTACACGTCTTGCTCGCGCAATGCTTGTCCGTACAGAGCCTCCACCCCCACACCTGAAGCCCCAACGTCGAATCGTCGAATCCCTGAACCCTAAACTCTAAGCCCTGAACCACAAACCCTAAACCCTCAAGTCTGAACCCTGAACCCCAAACCCTAAACCCTGTACCCCAATCCCTAAAAACCTGAAACCTTTATGGATCCCTTAAAGGAACCCCTTAAAAGTACCCTTAGCAAAGGCCCCTACAATACCTTGGCGCGCACCTCTGAAAGCTCCTCCATGGCAGCTCGCGGCCACTTCCGGCACTCGGAGCTCTTGATGCGAGTTTAGGGTTAAGGGTTTAGACGTGTATGAACGCGGGAGCCGTGGATATCTGAGAGAAGATAAGATAAGATGTGATAAAACGATTTAATATAGTACAATAGAGTAGAATAACATGTGCTCTGAAAAACGATGCAACTGTATATTCTAGTACAATGCAATACAATATACAAGTATGTCTTTGTTTTAGCTACGCCGTGCGGTTTTCCAAAGAAGGAGCGCTGCTTGCGCGGTCCAGCACATGGCTTGGCCTGTTCCGTTTTGGGGGGTCACATACGAAGTTTTAGGGTTTTGGGCTTCGGGGTTAGGGGTTTAGGATGTCTAACATCCCGGCGATCAACCTCGTCCGAGCCGAAATCCAGCTATGAGAATTGGCGAGTGGCACGTTTGAATCCTGTTCCTTGCCTGGTACCTCGCCTCTCTATGTCTTCGTCCCTCGACCATCCGTGAATGGCGACCTCACCCTCAAATTTCAGAAATTGGGGAAGTGGGAGTTCTTGAGGAACCGGAGCCAAAGGCAAGGGAAGGGGAGGCCAGGGTGACTGGTGGGGAGGCCAGGGCGACGGACGGAAGCCAAAGCCCCCAAAACGCACAGACCGAAAACGCAACGGAGAGCCGTACAGGCAGTCTACTACCCTAAACCCCGAAACCCAAACCACTATTGGTCAAAACCCTAAACCCCAAAACCCCTAAACCCCTAAACCCTACTAAGGTCTGAGTCCCACTCCCAGCTTCCATTTCAGCAGCCAGGGCCTTGATTGCTGCTTGAAGGCTCATGGGACTTAGTAAGTAAGGTTATAAGTAGGTTATGATTAGGATAGCCCCACTTAGGGGACTTATAACCCCGATTATAACCTACTTACTAAGTCCCATGATCCTCTAAGTACGTTCAATTGATTTGGAAGTTCGGGTTTAGGGTTTACGGTTTTGTGTTTAGCGTTGTGGGCCTAGAACTTTAGGGTTTGAGTGCTGTGCATTGAGGTATTGAGGCGGAAATTGACGAGGTTTGTTTAGTGCTGTTAGAGAGGGAATCAGAAACCCTAAACCCTAAACGCACAAATTTAGGATTTGAAGCGCAATGCTGTGAGGGGTCGAGGCGGCGTTTTAAAGCTGGCACTTCCGGTCGCAGCAAGCCAGTTAGAGTTTAGTTGATATAGGGGCCTGAACAATTAGAATAGGGTATTGGGGCCCATTATACTGTGATTATTATAGTGAGGAACCCCCAAAAAGGTATTGGTAATTATTTCAGGCCCTATAGTACGAGTAGAGGTTAAGGCTGCTACAACCTGGCGGAGCTTAAATGGCAGAAGTAGAGGTTGGATTGCCGCAGGGGCACAGGCATCCCAATAAAAACAAACTTCAGGAACCCTTAAACATCCCTACCAGCACCCCCCAACTACCTTCTATTATACCCTAAGTGCCCAGTATTAAGGACCATAAGGGCTCTCTTTTGAAAGGTACTTGGGGTGCTGGAAAACCCTACTTAGAGGATCATGGGACTTAGTAAGTAGATTATAGGTGGGGTTATAAGTCCCCTAAGCGGGGTTATCCTAATTATGACCTATACTTATTATAACCTTACTTACTAAGTCCCCTGCCCCTTCAAGTATACTTTACCGAAACAACTCTCATCGGCTCTTAAGCTCAGTCTCTGACGGTAACATCTGTCTTCGGGTCAGCGCGACGTCGAAGACCGTCATCCCTGACGCCGGGTAAGAACCATATATATATATATATATATATATGTATGAGTTTCATGGAAAATCTAGTCTTTTTGAAGTGTAGGGTTTAGGAACATCTTTAGGAGTAGGGTTGAGGGCTTGGAGCGGACCTTAGTGTACACATCACGTAGGGATTAGTGCTTGGCATCATACAACGGCCGAAACAGGCGGATAGAGTTTTGCGATACAGTGTACAACTGTAAGTTTCAAAGGAACCTGAGAAATAGGACTCCTAGTTTTTCTGACAACCAGATTAAACACACCAAGTAGCAATATCCTTCTTGCAAAGACTCGCAGAAGGGACACGAATTGGATTCTCAAATTGGCTTCAAGTCCAAGGCTGTCTCGCCGATCAAGACTGAAGAGTCGCAATCCGTGGCCCTGTGTCAGAAACTTACAGCACTCAATGCTGACGGCCAAAAACCACCAAGCGCCAAACTCGTTGACTTCGGTATCGATATGCGTATATATATATATACACACATAACTATATATATATATATATACACATCCGCTCGTACGTACATGTACATCCACATGTAGAGTAAACTTTCCAAGCAATCGCAGCCATCAGTCGACTTCTAGTCGTGGCCTGAGTAGCAGAAGATCAGCAGCCAGTAGCTGGGCCTGAGTACTTGGAGGGGCAGGGGACTTAGTAAGTAGGTTGTAAGTACGGTTATAAGTACCCCCTAAATGGAGTTACCCCAATAACCCTACTTACAACCTACTTACTAAGTCCCCTGCCCCTCCAAGTAGCGAGCAGGAGGAGCTTCAACCGGTTGGGTTTGATACAGGGGCCTTACTAATTAGAATAGGGTTTTGGGGTCGGTATAGTATACTATACTTTTAATTAGGGACCCCCCCCCCATAGTATAGGAAATTATTAAGGCCCCTATATTAGGAGGTTTGGGTTGATGGGGGTGCAAGGGTTAGGGCAAAACCCGCTGTGCTTGTGCGCGCCAGCGATACTTGCAAGCATCATTGACACTGGGGTTTTTCGCTCGGGAATGTAAGAAACTGATTAAGAAACCCTGTGCCTATAACCCCCAAAATAGTAGGCTTCATATAAGGAACCCTCATAGAGGCCCAAGGTTTCTTAATCAGGTTCCTGCATTAAGCCCCAAAAGTCTAAGCCCCGAACCACGGCCCCATACCATTCAGGCCATCTGCGAGGACTAGACCTGTCACCTGGCAGGGGATGGCATTCGGAGTCTCGGCAGGTGGCAACGGGTGCAGCGTTTTGTAGATTGGTGCTCCAAGACCTTCCAAAATCTCTTCATTAAGGAATCCGGAAGGTCTGGGCAGCTTCAGTAACGGTGGGCATCCATCTCTTGAGGAGGCCTGCACTACGGAGCGCATGGGCTGTCTTCTACAGCTTCGTATCGGGTCCGTTCAGGCTTCCTGAATGTGTTTCCTTTTAGGGTTTAGGGTTTAGGGCCCTGAGGCAAGAGTGATTGCGGAGCTAATCAAGCATCATTATGCCCTGCAAACCCGATGCCGTCTAAATTTCTGGCTTAAGCTTATTTAGTTATTTAGTATGGGCCACAGTTGCTTTAGGCGTACAGTCCAAAAGGGTCTTAAGCATCCTATATAGGAAGTCCCGAAAATGGGGGACGCAAATGTAGTACCCTAAATAGAAGGATCCTTATTATAAGGACCCCAAAATAAGGTACCCTAATTTTCGGCACCTTCCATATAGCAGAATGTAGGGTTTCTACCTTTGCAAGCATACACACGGAGCAAAAGCGAGCGCCAGGGAGCTCCAGCGAGCATGAAGGCACCGCCCGCCAGCGTTCGGGCAAGAATCCACGGGCCTGCACATGAAAGTGTGCATACATACATAGATATATCTATATATATATACATATATATACATATATATATATATATATATATATATATATATATATATATTTTACACATTCATACTCAGCCACGTATGCACTGATGCCTCTTTATCTGTCCATCTGTTGATCTACCGGCCTAGCTCCTGCCTTCCTGCCTACCTACCTATCTGCCTATCTCTATCTGTCTATCTACCTGTCTACCTATCTATCTGTCATTTTTTATCTGTTCTACCTATCTGCCTACCTACCTATCTAACGATCAACAGCTGGTGATGTACAGACGGATGGAGAGATGCGTAGATAGATGTAGATAGGTAGGTAGACAGATCGACAGATAGTAGATAGACAGACAGATAAATGGAAAAACTAGCCAAGTAGCCAGATCGGAAGTGCTTTAGATCCTCAAGAGACGGCGCTAAGGTGCTGGACTGTGATGCTTTTTTAGATTTTGACGGCAATCCCCGAGGCTTACAGGAACTTCTGTGCGGCTGGCTGCACACTCCGCCGCCTAAAAACGTCTATATATATGTGTATATATATATATATATATAATTTTCATAAGCTGTCGCAAACAAAGTCTGATGCCTACCCTAAACCCAAAACGCTGAAACCCTCAACCCTAAACCTTAAACCCTAAACCCTAAAACCTAAACTCGAAATCGAAATTCTTCGATCCCGCGATCCTGGAACCCACATCTTGGGACATCTTGGGAAGTACGGCTGATGATAGAAATCCTGCATTAGCCATAAGCAGGAATACGTGGGAATTATGGTATATTCCTTATCATGGGTCGTGCAGGATTTATATCCCTAAGCCCTATAAGCCCCCTATAGACCCCTTAAAGGAACCCCTTAAAGGCACCCTTATAGATCCCTTTAAAGGAACCCTAGGATTTATATCATCAATCGTACGGTGAAAGCTCGGATGCCACAGCTCTTGATCCGAGCTGACTTTAATCTATTGCTGGTCACAGGGTCTCCCG